CTAACTAAATGTGAATCAAAACTGAAACCATAGCACAAGACAACTGTCAATCAAAACTGAAACCAGAGCATAAGAGAACAGCAAAACTTGATACTGTCAATTCTGTGTCCATAGATTCTGTATCCACAAATTCAACCACCAATAGCTTGAATTTTTTAATTCTCCAAAGCAATCACTGACTTGGCATTTTGTATAAAGGGTACCATTTTACTACACCATTGTTTAGAAAGGGATATTAACATCCTTGAATATTGTTAATTACCGGGGTCCTGGAACAAACTCCCAGAGTATCAGTATTCTAGTCTACTGTATATTTAATGCAGTAGACTAGAATTCCATTTGATATGGTGCTTGGAGATAACTACATATTATGGGTAATGATATGGTGACAAACAGCATTCCATCATCTTCCCCCAAAACTTAGTGTATGTATGTGTGTGGTGACAAAATGGAGAATGGTCCATATGCTGCTGTTCTTGCTTCCAGCTGTATCCTATTGGGTAGTTCATTGGTTGAAACAGGAAGCTATTGATCATGCACCCCTCTAATGCTGCCTCAAGTCTGTAGAACACTTCAGAAGGCAGAAATGGCACATAAACATTTCTTGCATGACAGGGCAGGGCTGGATGGCTTGTGTGGTCTCTTCCAACTCTATGATTCTAAGATTCAATGATCCTTGGAAATCCTTCTAGTACTATTCATTAATTGTTCCAGCAATGATGGGTCTGGGCCAAACTAGGCACAAATATTCCATATACCCAAATATGAACACAGATGACATTTGGGAGTTGTAGTTGCTGAGATTTATAGTTCACCTACAATCACAGAGCATTCTGAATCTAACCAACGATAGAATTGGGCCAAACCTCCCATACAGAACCCCCATGTGGGCCACAGCAGCACGTGGCAGGGGACGGCTAGTCTATATGAATAAAAATGTAATGTTTGTTTGTGGAACTAACATAACTCAAAAACCACTGGACGAATTGCCGCCAAATTTGGCCACAAGAGACCTACTAACCCAAGAACTGACCATCACTCAAAAAATTGATTCTCAACATTTGGAAAATAGAATCTTGACATTTGGGAGTTGTAATTGCTGGGATTTGTAGTTCACCTGCAATCACAGAGCATTCTGAACCCCACCAATGATAGAATTGGGCCAAACCTCCCACACAGAACCCCCATGACCACCAGAGTGGGCCACAGCAACACGTGGCAGGGGCCGGCTAGTATATCTATATATATAAAAATGCTCTGTGCATAATGAATACCTTAAAAACAAAAGAACCAATGAACAAAATGACACCAAATTTGGCAACAAAACATCTCACAACACAAGGAGTGACCATCACTCAAAAAATTATGATTTTGTCATTTGGGAGTTGTAGTTACTGGGATTTATAGTTCACCTACAAAGAGCATTCTGAACCCCTCCAACAACGGAATTGGGGAAAACTTCCCACACGGAACCCCCATACTTAAGACCATCCATTCCAACAACCTTCACCTGGGCAAGAAAACGTAATCAAAGCCCTCCTGACAAAGAGCCATCCAGCCATAGATATAGATTGATAGATAGATATGGTTCACACACACACACACACACACACACACAGAGAGAGAGAGATAGTACTATAGATTTGAAAGGGACCCTTAAAGAAGGACAATTATAAATTGCATGTTCCAGGGTAGACAAACCAAATAATCTCCACATCAACACTGACAGAGAAACAGCAAGAAATACTCTTTACCCATAAGCATAAAGAAATTACAAATATTAGAAACCAATACTTTCTCGTTACTTTATTTTCCAGATCACCAGACTGGGCCACAGCAACGCCTGGCAGGGGACGGCTAGTCTATATAAATAAAAATGTAATGTTTGTTTGTGGGATTAACATAACTCAGAAACCATTGGGCAAATTGACACCAAATTTGGACACAAGACACCAAGCAACCCAATGTATGTCCTTCACTAAAAAAATGAGTTTGTCATTTAGGAGTTGTAGTTGCTGGGATTTATAGTTCACCTCCAATCAAAGAGCATTCTAAACTCCACCAATGATGGAATTGAACCAATCTTGGCACACAGAACTCCGATGACCAATCAAAAACACTAGAAGGGTTTGGTGGGCATTAACCTTGAGTTTGGGAGTTGTAGTTCACCTACATCCAGAGAGCACTGTGGACTCAAACGATGATGGATCTGGACCAAACTTGGCACAAGCACTCAATACGCCCAAATATGAACACAGATGGAGTTTGGAGGAAATAGACCTTGACATTTGGTAGTTGTAGTTGCTGGGATGTATCGTTCACCTACAATCAAAGAGCATTCTGAATCCAACCAATGATAGAATTGGGCCAAACCTCCCACACAGAACCCCTATGACCACCAGAGTGGGCCACAGCAACACGTGCGAGGGGATGGCTAGTCTATATAAATTAAAATGCAATGTTTGTTTGTGGGATTAACATAGCTCAAAAACCAGTCTGTGTATATGTGTCCTATTTTATTCTATTGCTGTTTTTTTTCTTTTTTTCTTTCCCTTCTTTCCCCACTACTTTCTTTTTTCTTTCTTTTACCTATATGCATATTTTAAGAAAACTTCAATAAAGATTTTTTTTTAAAAAAAAAACCCTCAAAAACCACTGGATGAATTGACACCAAATTTAGATACAATACTCCTATCAGGCTAACAAGTGACAATCACTCATAAAAACACTGAAAAACAGAAGAGACTTAAAAAGCCAAAAATTAAAAATCACAATGCATGCACAAAACCACATATATATATGCATACACATATACACAAATATATACACACACATATAGACACAAAACACATACACACAGACTGGGCCACAGCAACGCATAGCAGGGGACAGCTAGTCTATCTAAATAAAAATGTAATGTCGAAGGCTTTCATGCTGTTGTAATTTTAGAGTTTTTTAATACTGGTAGCCAGATTTTGTTCATTTTCATGGTCTCCTCCTTTCTGTTGAAATTGTCCACATGCTTGTGGATTTCAATGGCTTCTCTGTGTAGTCTGACATGGTGGTTGTTGGAGTGGTCCAGCATTTCTGTGTTCTCAAATAATATGCTGTGTCCAGGCTGGTTCAACAGGTGCTCTGCTATGGCTGACTTCTCTGGTTGAAGTAGTCTGCAGTGCCTTTCATGTTCCTTGATGCGTGTCTGGGCGCTGCGTTTGGTGGTCCCTATGTAGACTTGTCCACAGCTGCATGGTATGCGGTAGACTCCTGCAGAGGTGAGAGGATCCCTCTTGTCCTTTGCTGAACGTAGCATTTGTTGGATTTTCTTGGTGGGTTTGTAGATTGTTTGTATGTTGTGTTTCCTCATCAGCTTCCCTATGCGGTCAGTGGTTCCCTTGATGTATGGCAAGAACACTTTTCCTCTGGGTGGATCTTCATCTTTACTCTTGTGGCTTGTTCTTGGTCTTGCAGCTCTTCTGATGTCTGAGGTGGAGTATCCATTGGCCTGTAGAGCCCAGTTTAGGTAGTTCAGTTCATCTTGGAGGAGAATTCTTTTTGCACGGTCTGCCAAAGCTTTAATGGTGCTTCTTTTTTGACTTGGGTGATGGTTGGAGTTTTTATGTAGATATCTATCTGTGTGTGTGGGTTTTCTGTAGACGGTGTGACCCAATTGTTGATCTGGTTTGCGGATGACTAGGACATCTAGAAAAGGCAGTCTTCCTTCATTTTCTTTTTCCATGGTGAACTGGATGTTTGGGTGGATGCTGTTGAGATGGTCCAGGAACCTGTTGAGTTCTTCTTCTCCATGGCTCCAAATGGTGAAGGTGTCATCCACATCTGAACCATATCGTGGGCTTTTTGGTTGCTGTCTCCAGGGCTTGTTCTTCAAAGTGTTCCATGTAGAAGTTAGCTATGACCGGGCTGAGAGGGCTCCCCATAGCTACTCCATCTTTCTGTTCGTAGAATTCATTGTCCCACTGAAAGTAACTGGTGGTGAGGCAATGGTGAAACAGAGCCGTGATGTCTTCTGGGAACCTCTGGTTGGTGAGTGCCATGGTGTCTGCTACCGGGAGCATGGTAAATAGAGATACCACATCAAAGCTGATCAGTTTGTTGTTGGTATTTAGCTTGAGATTGCTGATTTTTTCTATGAAGTGGGCTGAGTCCTTGATGTAGTGTGTAGTGAGCCCAATATGGCTTTGTAACTGTGCAGCAAGAAATTTTGCTAGGTCGTATGTGGGGGATCCAATGGCACTCATGATGGGTCTGAGTGGGGTGGAGTCCTTATGGATTTTTGGGAGTCCATAAAGCCTGGGTGGAAGGGCTTCCGATTTACATAGCTGCTGTCGTATGTCAAAGTTGATTGAGGAGTTCTTAATCAGAGTGTTGGTTTTCCTGGTTATTTTGGAAGTTGGGTCTTGCTTGAGTTTTTTGTATATAGTAGGGTCCAGGAGTTTTCTGAAAACTCAAGCAAAATAACCAGGAAAACCAACACTGGTTTCAATCAACTACTAACCCAAGGACTGACCATCACTCAAAAAATTGATTCTTGACATTGGGAAAATAGAATCTTGACATTTGGGAGTTGTAATTGCTGGGATTTGTAGTTCACCTACAATCACAGAGCATTCTGAACCCCACCAACAATAGAATTGGGCCAAACCTCCCACACAGAACCATCAGAGTGGGCCACAGCAACGAGTGGCAGGGGATGGCTAGTATATGTGTGTGTGTGTGTATATATATATATATATATTGAAAGGACAGATTGAAATAGAAGGATCCAATGTTGAAGAGCATCAAAGAGATCAACAGGTCCTCACTGAGCTGCATTTCCCCAGAACTTGCAGAAACAATAAGGAAAAGGAAAGTGCGCGTCGGTTTCGTTTTGCCCTGCCTTCCCGCCAAGCAGGACAGAGGCGAAGAGGGTCAGCCTGTTTCCCCGAAATGACGTCACTGTGGCCACGCCCCCTGGAGCGGGAGGGGCGGGGCTTAGCGTGCAGCTGGGAGCGCTCTCAGGAGGCTGGGCGCGAGGCATTGAGACCCAGAGCAGCTGCTGCTCGGGGCTTCCTCTGCGGCCTCGCCGTCCAGGTAGGTCCTTTGGGCGAAGGCCTCAGGAGAGATGCCATCCCTTGTGGGGGAGGGGGGTGGTCAAAATCCTTCAGGAGATGCTCTTGGGGATGGTTGGGTATGCTGGGGGGCGTCTACACTGGAGGAGCAACGCAGTTTAATAACTACCCTGGGGTTCCTGGGAATTGTGGCTTTGCAAAATCGTCAGCAATCTCTGCCATACTGCATATAGCTTAGGGTTCTATTAGCCATTAAGGTGTCAAGCTATATTCATTCTACAGCAGGCATGGGCCAACTTGGGCCCTCCAGGTGTTTTGGACTTCAACTCCCACAATTCCTAGCCCTACAGGCTGCTAGGAATTGTGGGAGTTGAAGTCCAAAACACCTGGAGGGCCCAAGTTTGCTCATGCCTATTCCACAGTGCATATTTTAAATAATTAAGAACTACCAAAAGGCAAGAACTGTTGATGCAACCAGAGGTTTGTTCCCCTATCTCAGCCCCCTTCCACACAGCTGTATAATAATAATAATAATAATTATTATTATTATTTATTTATCATGTCATCAGCAACCATACTATTGTATTACATTTCTAACAGAACAAAAAAAACAGATTAAAAAAAAACACAGATTTTGCAAGCTTGGTAGTTGATTAAATGTCCTTTGACCAGTATCTGGCCACTTGGAGTGCCTCTGGTGTTGCCGCAAGAAGGTCCTCCATCATGCATGTGGCAGGGCTCAGGGTGCATTGCAGCAGGTGGTCAGTGGTTTGCTCCTCTCCGCACTCGCATGTCGAGGATTCCACTTTGTAGCCCCATTTCTGAAGGTTGGCTCTGCATCTCGTGGTGCCAGAGCACAGTCTGTTCAGCGCCTTCCAAGTCGCCCAGTCTTCTGTGTGCCCGGGGGGAGTCTCTCATTTGGTATCACGCACGGATTGAGGTGCTGGGTTTGGGCCTGCCACTTTTGGACTCTCGCTTGCTGAGTTGTTCCAGCGAGTGTCTCTGTAGATCTAAGAAAACTATGTCTTGATTTAAGTCGTTGACGTGCTGGCTGATACCCAAACAGGGGATGAGCTGGAGATGTCTCTGCCTTGGTCCCTTTCACTATTGGCTGCTACTTCCCCGGCGGATGTCAGGTGGTGCGATACCGGCTAAGCAGTGTAATTTCTCCAGTGGTGTAGGGCGCAGGCACCCCGTGATAATGCAGCATGTCTCATTAAGAGCCACATCTACTGTTTTAGTGTGGTGAGATGTGTTCCATACAGGGCATGTGTGATGTATAATAATAATAATAATAATAATAGTAATAATAATAATAATAATAATAATAATAATACATCACACAGTCCTAGATGCTTGGGAAGTGTTCGACTTGTGATTTTGTGATACGAAATCCAGATATAGATCTCGTTTGCTGTGACATACTGTGCTTTTGTGTCAATAATAATAATAACTTGCAAAGACTCTGGCACAAACCAGTAAAGGTGGTCCCAGTGGTCATCAGCAGACTGGGTGCAGTGCCTAAAGACCTTGGCCTGCACTTAAACACAATCGACGCTGGCAAAATTACCATTGGGATCTGCACACATTATCCGCCAATACATCACACAGTCCTAGACACTTGGGAAGTGTCCGACGTGTGATCCAATACAACAGCCAGCAGAGTGTCTGCTGTGGACTCATCTTGTTGTGTTTCAAATAATAATAATAATAATAATAATAATAATAATAATAATCTGAAAATAATAATAATCTGAAAAAAAGAAGAGAAAGGAAATTTTCTTTGTTTACAATGGACCCATCTTGTTGTGTTTCAAATAATAATAATAATTTTATTTTTATACCCCACCAACCATCTCCCCAAGGGGATTTCAGGCGGCTTACGAGGGACTAGTCCAAAAATTACAATAAAACACAACAGATTAAAACACCAAACATGAAAATATAAAAACAGTCACAATTGTAAACAAAGATCAAGCAATATGGCTGAGATAAAGAACATAGGTACAGGCTCACTGAGTACAATACATTCTGAAGGGAGCGCATGGAAAGTAGGGCTTATCCACACTGAACTGCGTTCTGTGGCAGTGTGGACTCAGATAATCCAGTTCAAAGCAGATATTGTGGATTAACTGCTTTGATATTCTGGGTTTGTGACAGTGTGGAAGGGCCTCTAGTCCCCATCTACACTGCCATATAAAATCCAGATTTTCTGCTTTGAACTGGGTTGTATGGCAGTGTGTATTTATATAATCCAGGGCCCTTCCACACAGCCATATAACCCAGAATATTAAGGCAGGAAAACCCATAATATCTGCTTTAACTGGGTTATCTAAGGACCCTTAATATTCTGGGTTTTATGGCTGTGTGGAACAACCCATTGCCCCCATCTACACTCATATAAAATCCAGATTTTCTGCTTTGTACTGGGTTGTATGGCAGTGTAGACTCATTGTATGGCAGTGTAGACTCATTGTATGGCAGTGTAGACTCATTGTATGGCAGTGTAGACTCCAGGGCCCTTCCACACAGCCATATAACCCAGAATATCAAGGCAGAATTATCCAGAATATCTCCTTTGAACTGGGTTATCTAAGGACCCTTCCAGACAGACCCTATATCCCAGGATCCGATCTCAGGATTTTTACTTTAAACTGGATTATATGAGTCTGCATTGCCAGATAATCTGTGATAAACAGACAACCTGGGATCAGATCCAGGGATATAGGGGCTGTCTGGAAGGGCCCCCAGAATATCAAGGCAGAAAGCCCACAATATCTGCTTTGAACTGGGGCCCCTTCCACACAACTGAATAAAATCCCACGTTATCTGCTTTGAACTGGAATATATGGCAGTGTGGACTCAGATAACCCAGTTCAAAGCAGATATTATGGGATTTTCTGCCTTGGTATTCTGGGTTATATGGCTGTGTGGAAGGACCATGGGTTATCTGAGTCCACACTGCCATATAAATCCAGTTCAAAGCAGATAATGTGGATTATCGGCTGTGATAATGTAGATCAGTGGTTCTCAACCTTCCCAATGCCGCGACTCCTTAATATGATTCCTCATGTTGTGGTGACCCCCAACCATGACATTATTTTCGTTGCTGCATCATAACTGTTGTTTTGCTCCTGTTATGAATAGTAATGTAAATATCTGATATGAAGTATGTATTTTCTCTCCCTGGAACTAAGTTCACTGATATGCCCAAATTTGAATACTGGTGCGGTTGGGGTGAGGTGGGGAGGTTGATTTTGTCATTTGGGAGTTGCAGTTCCTGGGATTTATAGCTCACCTACAATCAAAGAGCATTCTGGACTCTACCAGCGATGGAATTCAACCAAACCTGGCACACAGAACGCCCATGACCAACAGAAAATACTGGAAGGGTTTGGTGGGCATTGACCTTGAGTTTTGGAGTTGTAGTTCACCTACATCCAGAGAACACTGTGGACTCAAACAATGATGGATCTGGACCAAACTTGGCACAAATACTCAATATGCCCAAATGTGAACACAGGTGGAGTTTGGGGAAAATAAATCTTGACATTTGGGTGTTGTAGTTGCTGGGATTTATAGTTTATCTACAATCAAAGAGCATAGTGAACCTCACCAACAATAGAATTGGGCCACACTTCCTATAGGGAACCTCAATGACCAATAGAAAATACTGTGTTTTCTCATGGTCTTTGGTGACCCCTTTGACACCCCCTCACAATCCCCCCCAGGGATCCCAACCCCCAGGTTGAGAAACACTGATCTAGATTATATGGCCATGTAGAAGGGGCCCCAGTGTTTACAGTCTGGTTTCAATTCCCATACACCAGCTACACTTTCAATTCTCAAAACATCCGCCAGATGCCCTTATCTATTTAACATTTCCCAACTTCTTCTCAACCTCCCCCTCAGTCAATTTGTCCTTCATGGTAGGATGAATACAGCAGCCCTTCCCACAGCTGTTACGGGCATCCAGACAGGTTATCTGAGTCCACACTGCCATGTAATCCAGTTCAATGTAGATTTTATACAGCTGTGAGGAAGGGACCTAAAAGTTCTGGTGCCTCACTAACCTGCCAAGCCCAGGATTCCATAGCGATGAGCTATGACAAAGTAGTGCCAAAGTGTATTAATTCAATAGTGTGGATGCACCCTTAATGCCCCATCAAAGAGAAGAGCTGTAGGATCAGAAGCTGCCTTGAGTCCAGTGCAAACCTCAGCACCAGTTTGAGATCATCCACACTGGGGAGTTATAGTGGTTTGGCACCATTGCCCTGTCTCCATCCTCTGGAATCTTGGGATTTGTAGTTTTGTTGAGGCACAAGCGTCCTCTGATGAATTTCTCATAAAGTTGTGAATCCCGGAATTCCATAGTTCGGAACCCTGGCAGCGAATGTGATGTCAATCTGCTGTGATTTTGCAGTGTAGATTCAGACTCAGTGGTGTCTCACCAACAGGGTCATGGTGCAAATGAGAGAAAGGGAGAGGGAGAGAGAGAGAGAGAAAGTCCACTTTGTGAGTTGATATGGTGCCAAGTTGATGACCTTGTGCAAGTGGCCTTTCCACACAGCCATATAACCCAGAACATCAAGGAAGAAAATCCCACAATGTCTACTTTGAACTGGATTATCTGAGTCCACACTGCAACATATCCCAGCTCAAAGCAGATAATGTCGGATTCTTCTCAGCTGTGTGGAAGGAGCCTCAGACAGGATCTACACTATGCTATCATATAATCCAGATTATTTGCTTTGAATTGGGTTATATGAGTCAACACTTCCACGTAATCCAGTTCAAAGAAGATATTCTGGATTTTGTATGGCAGTGTAGATAAGGCCTCAGAGGAAGGCAGCGGCTAGCCCACTGGGATCTAAGGTTGCCAGAAGTTGGAAAGGACTTGAAGACACAACAACAACAATGAAGCCAATAATTAAAGAAATCTGGAAAGAGACTTATTTGCGTTGGCTACTACTGCGGCAAAGGAATGTTTGCAAAACACTCTTTCCTTCCAAAAGTTATTGA